GGGGTTTGAACCAAGGACCTGCTCGCTGAGAGGCAGCAGCTCTACCAGTTGCGCCACCGTGCTGCCCACGGCTTTTATTATTGATATTAATATTTTTATTTATTAAATGTTCAAAGTTTTAGTTAGCAAGAGGCTGATTTCTACGAAATGAGAGGACAGCTCCATCCAAAACTGAAAGGAGCACAAACTAAAGTGTTACAGCTAAAAAGAGAACAATTTTAGCTCGAAGCTGAAAGTACAAAAAAGTCGAGCAAAAAGCTAAAAGTCTAGCTAAATGTAGCAAAAATTAGATAACTAAAATTTAAAAGTAGCACACTGCTAGCAAAGAGTTGCAAAAAGCAGCCAAAAGCTGAAAGTAGCTAAATGTGACCTCAAAGCTAAAAATTGTAAAGGCTAGCTAATAAATAGAATAAACAAAAGGTCAGCTTAAGGCTAAACACAGCACAAGGCTAAAGGTAAAGTCACGGCAATAATTATAAAAAATAAAACTGGTACAATAATAAATAAAAGCAACAAAAAGCAGATTCAAGCAGGATATTCAAAGGACTTTTCAACTAAAATTCATATATTTTTTAATTAGTTCACAAAGTATTACTTTAAAAGAGCTCACTTCAAGCTTGGATAATTAAAAAAAAGAATAGTAAACAGTTTATTAATAATAAATGACTTGATTCATTTTATGAAGCATGTTAAGGATCAGGGGAATAAGACGTAATGAGTTCATCAATATTTTATTTATCTATTATTATTTATTGACTCTTCTTTAAGCAGGCAACTCCCTCTGAGATCACAGATCTCTTTTGCGAGGGAGATCTGGGTCTTACTGACAAACATCCTGTGCCTCTGCACAATGAATCATGTCAGAAAGGCTGATAATAAATTATGTATTTTATGAAAAACAAAATAACTACAGACTCCTTTATTGACTTTCTTATGATGTAAATCCTGATGCGTCTATTTCACCTGTTGCACGTTTCTCATTACTAAAGATTTGCCAATGTATCTTTTTATAATGTTAGACTCATTTACCTGTGTGCAACAAAAAGCAACACATCATTTCCAAATATTCTTTCTATCTTGCATACTTGCATAGTTGTCTCTGTAAATAACAAAGCAGCTGTTTGTTAATCAGGATGACACCCTCACTTAGAATAAGAGAAAGACAGAGGTTTAATGGAGCGGGGATAATAAAGTGAGCGTTCGCTGTGACCTGAAGGGAGAAAAACAGAAGTCATGAGATCCAGCAGAGTTGATTCATGATGGTCACGCAGTTTATTTGTCATCATCTGGGCTGCATGGAATGAATTATGCACTTTTTATTTATACTTTATCCACAAACATGTAGATTCAAATCAATTAGCAAAATGATGAACAGGATCTTCCAGCTGGTTTATCTCATTATGTATTAAAAGGTTAATATTTTTTTACATAGCTTGAATTATGATTTGCTCCAAGCTTGATTAATCTTAAAACCTGTCTTTGTGATTTTTGCTGAAGGGTTATTTCTCCGCGACTAACAGAACTTTCAGTCAGATCAGCAGCTCTGAGCTGATGGAGCAGCTTCTGTTTTGACTCTGGTGGTCCCAAAAGAGTGGAGGACCCTTTTCAACAAATGCAATCACAGCTTAAACGTGTCTTAAGGTGGGGAGGGGGGTGTCCTTATGCAGTGGGACAGGTCGTATCTGTCCGTGTGCTGCATCTCCGTGGACACACGTCTCGGCCTCAGTGAAGCATCTCGGCCTGGCGCCGCTGCCTCTCCACTTCCACAACATCAGGTGTAAAGTTACTGTTTGTTGTGGCCTGAGAGGACTAATAACAAGGAGGGAAAACAATAAAGCTGCTCCACACACACACACACACACACACACACACAGACACACACTGGAGCTGATTGACAAGATTTTTGGCAGCAGGAAACACATTTTTTTCACGCTGAGATTCACTTTGTACAATTTTTTTTAATGTAATAATTAGTTACTGGTAATAAGTTTAAAATGCTTTTGTCACTCCAGAAAACTTTAATGTTTTCCCTATTTAGTTATTTGTTTATTTATTTATTTATTGTTTGTTTGTTTGTTTGTTTGGAGGGGGCGACTGAATTTCTCAAAAGTCATTTTCACACATGTTCTGTTTTCTCCATCTCTTTAAAACGTTTTGTTTTTATTTATGATTTCTAGGATTTTTTTAAAATAATTTTTATGATAATAAAACAAACAAACAAACATGCCAAAGATAAAATGGGATCTAACCCCCTTGAGTGTTTACAATAAATTATTTTAACCCTTTATTTAACCGGACATCTCCCATTGAGACCACAGATCTTGAGGCCTGGGCCTGAAAGCAGCTAACATGCAACTAAATCTCATTTTAAGTTTGATATGAAAAAAGTTAACAGATTTAGAAACAGGGGAGATATTTTGCTAACAGTATGTCTGTGTGGCGCACGGCTCCTTGTTCTGAACGTCTCTGATGTGTTTGTTTCCTGCTGACACAAGATGGTGCGAGGTGTTCCTGAAAGGTGAGAAGACCTGCAGGAGCAGCGTGCGCGAGGAGGAGGGGGCGGTTGGTTGGAGTCTCAGGGGACAGATTTCTATCTCACTTGGTGCCTCAAATCATTCAGAGCCCCCCAGTCATCAGTCGGTGATCAGATCCGACCATCAGCAGCAGCAGCAGCCAGAGGTCAGGATGCACGCGGGTTCCACGACCTCCACCCCGTTTTCTGTCAAAGACATTCTGAGGCTGGACTTCCACGATGAGTATGAGAGTGATTTTCTGATGACTGATCAGGTGGTTCCGATGCATCACGATCCTCATCAGCACCATCAGCTCGCGCGCGCCGCCTCCCAAAGCGACGACTTTTACGCGTGCGAGAGGCGCCTCTGTGGGAGGCAGGAGACGCACGAGGCTCGCAGCTCGGCCGCAGGAGGAGGTGAGACGGTGCAGCCGAAATGACAATTGTTATTTTAATGAATGCAGCTCTGAGAAGAGTCAAAAGAGCCAAAAACAACCTTTGAAAAACGGTTCCAATTTTTTTTTTTGGAAACGTGTTTTTTTTTTCTCCTCCAGAATAAACGGATCAAAACAATCTGACTTAATTAACCAGATCAAAGAACTCGAGTTTATCAGGCTGTTAATTCAAACTGAACTTTTTTTTCTTTTTCTTAAAAAGACAAATAAGTTTCAAACGTCACATTATGACCTGACTTTGAACAAACGTTTGGATTTATTGTCTTTAAACTTTTAAAAATAATCAGAAGTTGTTGGAGGTTTTTTTCCCCATCAGGTGCAGAATTATGACATTTTATTTGAAGTTTATGTTTAATGCCTCTGGTTGAAAAAGAGAAACTTTTTTGTTGTTTAGTTTTGGAGATAAGCTGCCATGCTGTCTTTGTCCCTCTGTGCAGGTCTGAGGGCTCCTGGTTCTCCTCGTGACTGCAACACGGATGTAAAACCCAGAACCAGGGCGCGCAGGAGGCCCCGGGTCCTCTTCTCGCAGGCGCAGGTGTCGGAGCTGGAGCGGCGCTTCGGGCAGCAGCGCTACCTGTCCTCCCCCGAGAGAGAGCAGCTGGCGCACGCGCTCCAACTCACCTCCACACAGGTCAAAATCTGGTTCCAGAACAGAAGGTACAAGTGCAAGAGGCAGAGGCAGGACAAGTCCCTGGAGCTGGCGGGGTTCCCGGCGGCGCCGAGGCGCGTGGCGGTGCCGGTTCTGGTGCGGGACGGGCAGCTGTGCGGCGCAGCTCCGGCTCCTTATAACGTCACGGTGGGACACTTTAACGCAGCGTTTGGGTGCGGGAACAACAGCTTCTGTGGCTTCCATCACCACAATGTGTCCTCTGATGTGACTAACACCGAGGGGCTCCTGAGCCAGATCCACGCTGCCGCAGGCTGGTGATTCCAACTGTCTTCTATTTAATACCAGAGATTTCTTCTGCACACTCAAAAAAAAAAAAAAAAAGATTTTATTTTTTTTACTTTTTGGACTTCAAATAGACAAGTTTTGCATTAAAGAACAGCATCTTGCAAGAGGTTTTTGTTGTTTCATACATTTCTCTCAAAATGTTGCCCCACTCTTCAAATATCAATGTCATTTTAAAATTCGTGTTTGTTTTTACTCTTCGACTTGTGAGACCAAACTGGACCAGTCAGGATGTCTTTCATCCAGAATGGATGGAAAACATCCCAGCTGATCAGAAAGCGGTGCTGGCTTTATCAAAGGGAGCCATCCAAGAGCCTAATGGATGAAGTGACCTCTGACCTCTCAGAGCTGTTCCTCTATCAAACTGAGCTCATTATTGCCCCATTCACAAACTCCCTGATAAGACAGCAGGACCTGTCCTGTCCCCCGGCTCTGCTTAGTAAACAAACCCGCAGACAGAGAGGCTCTGCAGCTCTTGAAACACTTTCAGTCATCCTTCTGCTGGGACCTGTCACTCACCCACTGCCGAGGCCATCGCACTAAAACTCCTTCCTGCTTCATCACTCCCAACGACTAAAAACTGTCTTTACTGTTACTGACTGATGAAGGAATACGCTGCAACAACCTCCGTTTGTGTCAGCGTTAATTAATGAGAACACAAAGGGGCAGAGCTCTGCACAGATAAGAGGCTGCAGACAGAGAGGAGGCAACAGATCAGATAATACCACTGTGTGTATGGGTGTGGGGGGGTTACAAACCTTATTGTATTATGCATTAAATTAAAAATATATACATAAATCTATTGACTAATGAAAACCAGCAAGTAAAGATTATTTAAGCAACACCTTTCACAGATAAAAAATCAGCTTTGCATTAAAATACAGTACAATAAACAGGTAAGATTGTCAGAAAAAGCAACAACTGATCTGTGTAGTGAACTAGGCCTGATGTCAAAACCTTGACCTTAGGACCATATGGGACAGAAACTGTCATTTCATTGATTTGAATCCAGAAATACAGGTTGACCCATCCTGAGACTTTCTTTCTTGAATTAATCAAGTAAAAGAAGACTACTTTCGATTATCATTACTATTTAGAAAGAAAAAGTCTTGAGCTGCTTTTTGAAAAGCTCAGCATGGTCAAAACACATTGATGCCCTGAAAGCATGCTGTCTCCTGGTTTGAAATCAGATCTAAATACCAGCAGTTTCTGGTTGGAGGACATAGAGCCTGAGTGGAAACAAGGATTAAAGTGTTCACAAATATACTCAAGAGCTTGGCTGCAAAAAGCCCTGAACGTCAACACCAATGTTTTTAAATGAAAATTAACAGTGAAGATTTTTAAACAAGATTCAAAACTTTTTTTTGTTTTTTTGTTAACAAAGCATCTGGACTTCTACTCTGGAGCTTCCCATCCAGGGAGCTTTATCGGTTTAACACTTTACGATGAGGTTCCCGAGAGGCTTCCTTTGTGCAGCTAAATTTACAAACAGGCGTCCAGCAGCAGGTGATAAAAACCATTTTTTAACAAGTTGTGTGGAGCAGCTTTGCAACATCATCAGAATAACTCCTGAGCTGCTTTGACTCGACAGCCGAGTTTACTGGTTATTGGGCAATTTGTTGTCAATTTAATCAGATTTTAACTCAAGGTACCGTAATGATTACATTTCTGATGATTAAAAACACTTGGAAATTTTTAAAGAGTAGCACATTTTTAGGCATCATCTGTGAAAATAGAGTAGGACGGGATAATAAAGGGATTACTAATGTGTCCAAAATGGAGGATGAAGAGTGAGGAAAGGATTTATCAGTTCAAGTTTATTGTCATTCACATCACATGTTGTACATGAGGTGGAACAAAATTGTGTACTCGGGGTCCCAGTTACACCCAAAAACAGCAAAAAATATAAAGTATAAAAAGGAACAGTAAGGGTCTAAGATATGCACTAAGATACAGTATATGCTAAACAAATGACAAACCGTATGCTTAAAGATCTTAGATATACTGTACACTAAACACTAATAAAATAAACAAATAATTAAAAGTAAAATAATAAGGTGTATTAAGCAAACAGCAGCTCGAACATGAGTCTGTGGTGAGCAGATGGATATGAATGAGTACAGCAGCATGGATAATCAGCAGCACAGATAATTATCACCAACTAAAGTGGCATTACAGTGATTTTACTGGTTAGAGATTCATGAGTCTTAACAGCCTCAGGGTAGAAGCTGTTCCTCAGTCTAGTGGTTCTACACTTAATGCTCCTCAACCTCCTTCCTGAGGGGAGCGGGGCAAAAAGTGTGTGTGCTGGGTGAGTGGGGTCCTTCATGATGCAGGTGGCTCTCTTCCTGCATCTAGAGGTGTAGATGTCTGTGATGGTGAGGAGGCTGACTCCAATAGTCTTTTGTGCAGCCTTCACCACTCTGCAAAGCTTTTCTTTCTGCAGCTGTGCAGCCTCCATGCCACACGTTGATGCTGGAGCACAGGATGCTCTCCACTGCACACCTGTAGAAGGAGGTGAGGACTGAGCTTCCTAGTCCAGCTCGTCTCAGCTGCCTGAGGAAGTGCCACTGGCATCTGCATCATTATACTGATGAATCAGACTGTGGTAGCGAGACGAGAAGTTGGTTTGTGTTTTAGGGACATCAGATGATTGTGGGAATTAGATGGTTTGGAATTATAGACAAAGCTCTGCTTCTTTTCCTGTTGATAATTGAAGAGATAATTAAAATCAAAATCTTTTATATGAATAATGAGGAGACTCAAATCTGTTCCAGCTGTTAACACTTACTTGCAAGTAAAGCTGTCAAATATATATATATATATATATATATATATATATATATATATATATATAAATGTAATGTTTCCTCTGAAATAAGTTCAACTAATATCTATACAAGTGTATAAATAAGATAGAACTTTATTGATCCCACAGGAAATTGTTGTGCCAGAGTTTCAGTACAAAGGAATATACGTTTCTACTCTGGTTCAAGATGGTCGCTCCTGCTTCTCCCTTTCCTCCTACTCCTGCTCTCTATGTCTCAGAGCTCCTGGTACACATCTCCCAAACGAAAAATACTATTATGGATCTGACGAGCTGGACTTTCAACGAAATCGACAAAATCTTTTCAACAAAATGACAGTGTTCTGGAGAATCCTCTGGCCCAGCTGAGACTCATGCTGAGGATGGATCAGAGATCAGCTGATGTGTCTGTCAGTCCTGTTTCAGGAGGATGATAAAGACATTTATATTTTCGATTTATGAAAGCAGGGGTTTCTGCTCTTTGGCATCGGCAGGGCTCTGTTTTATCAACTTGAAGAAGACATCGGCAGCAGTTTTGGCCATGGCAAAGCTTCTGAGTCTGTGTTTGGTACGTGCTATGAGGACTCAAAATCAGCGGATTAATGAGCTAAACAATAAGATGGAGGCGATTTGTGAGAATCACAGTCCACCTGTGGCTTCTAGGGCTCAACAGCATGTGGGATCGACCTTGAGGAGGCTCATAACACGGATCAGTGGAGTGGAATCTCATAAATGTTGCCATTTTGGACCAAGAAAGTTCCAGCAGGACTCAAGGCTGACAAGAAAAAAACTGTCTGCCTGAAGAAAATCAACAATTGTGGCTTATCTGAATCTGACTCCACCGTTTGGCCTTGGATACGAGCCGACTATCAAATTTCTCCTGGGACATGGGTAACTAGGAACAAAAGTGCCGTCTACAGCAGCCCCCCCCCCCCCACACACACACACACACACCATCTGAGAACTTCTGTTCTTCTGCAGACTTATCAGAATGGTGCCAGCTGACCAACATCTTATCAGGATATGGCTTATCTATCTGAAAGTGCTCATGGACAAATCTCAATGTCTTGACATCAAATGCATATGTAATGTGTTTATAAATGTGCTTGCTGGTAGTTTTTTTGATGTCTCAAATCATGTCCTAATAGGACAAAATGCGAAGAGATCATTTTTGTAATATCAAGTCTATCCTTATGGTTCTTACCCTTTTTTTATCGAAAAGTATTCTGATAAAGAATAAGGGGTTCAATTCAATTCAATTCAAAAATACTTTATTAATCCCAAAGGGAAATTATTTGTTGTTGTAACTCGTTATCCTCATTTCATTAAGAGATGTTATAGATACTGATGGCTGTAGACAGGAAGGATCTCTTGTAAAGGTCCATCCCACAGTGGATCCTGAGAAACTGGCTGCAGATGCTGTCCGATCCGTCCACCTAGACTCAGCTGGCCTCTCGGTTCCCCCAGGCTGTAGGACCGCCCGAATTCCAGGCAGAACTCCTCCCAGAGTGATGGCCACTCCTCCCAGAAATCTGCCGAGCTCCTCGTCGCTGCGGACAGCCAACTGTAGGTGCCGAGGGACGATCCTGTCCTTCTGCTGTCGTGAGTCGTGTTTCCTGCTAGTTCCAGGATCTCAGTGGTCAGGCACTCGAGCACAGCTGGCAGGTAGATGAGAATGCGTCCACAGAACATCCTTTTCAACTCATTTGAGATTTGGGGCTGTATTTGAGATATTAGTTGAGCTTTTGAGATGTTATTCAGCTGCTGTTGGTTGTAGAAAACTGCCTTGTTGCCATGGTTATGCATCATAACAAATGTCCAAAACTAAAAAAAAGTTTCAGTAAAAATCCTTCCAGCTGCACAGCATCCGATACCAGAGGAAACAATCATCCAAAAAATGTGATTTACATCCAGAAAAAGAGGAATAAAAGTTTCCAAAAGCAAAATCTCAGAATGAAAGTAACAGAGCTGCTCCAACATGCAGCCACCTTGAGCGGCACAATTCTAGAACTTGTGTTTGTGTTGTGTTTTTTAGCAGCAGCAACGTGCACTCCGCCCATCTTTTGAACGACTGTATGAACATAATCTCACTGTATTTCGGTACAATGATAATAAAGCTTATTCTGATACACTAGGAATCACACAAAATATTAAAAAAATAACAGCAAAC